CCTTGGAACCCAGAAGACATGGCATAGGAGGTGGTGCTTTTCTACCTTAGCTGCCACTGCATAATCCCAAATCAACATAAGTCAGGGGTAGAGGTAGGGTTGCCAAGTCAAAAATCGCTGGGAGCGGGGGACTCCCGTCTGGTGTCCTACATAGAGTTTTCCCCTCGGATGGTCGTGGCCCCGCCCCCAGCGTGCCCGGCGTCATAACATCACTTCCTGGTGACGCGCACGCCGGGGTGGGGTTCCCCCCGGGGCCCGATCCACCGGCGGCGGGGAATGGGCCTCTGGAGCGGGGTTTTCCCCGCCCCCCGGGGGGGACTTGTCAGCCTTAGGTAGAGGGAACCATACCTGTTACCATGAGGCTGTCCTCCCATACTACCCACTTGGGGCAGCAAAATGACTTGAGACAGCCCTGCCTTATAGCTAAGCAGAAAGAAATAAACATGGCTTACCTCCCTCTATTTTCCCCTTCCCTCTGCCGCCCCACCAGCCACAGCCGGAACACTCACCTGGAGCTTCCTTCTAGAGCTCGTTGTATTTCTTCCCACAACGAGCCTTATTCCTAGTTTTCAGATAAAGCTAGAATGTAAGCCCATCTGACCTTATATCTTGGAGAGTGGAGTGATTTCAGGTGCTGAATGACAATAGCAGGCAAATGACTTCTGTTGTTATTGTTGTTGTTCAGTCGCATAGTCGAGTCTGACTCTTCACGACCCCATGGACCATATCATACCAGGCCCTCCTGTCTTCTGCCATGCTCCAAAGTTTTCTTATTTAGGCAAATGACAGTAGCAGGTAAATGACAATTTATGACAATATTCTAGTGTTCTCTTTTCTGCTGCTACAGACAGACTAATATGGCTACCCATCTTGATCTGTCTGAAGGAAGTAGTCTGTGTCCTGTCTGAAGGAGCAGAAAAAAAGATGGAGCCTGGTGGAAGAGGAAACTAAGGGCAAAATATGTGATGCTAGTTGGATCATGGGTTCCCCAACCCAACTTGCAGTCACACATGGGGGAACTCATCATTCAAAGCACTCCATTGCTCAGTGCAACCTAGGAGCACTGCCTGGGGGAGGACTAGCTTCAGCCTTCCCTGCCATGCCATTTCCCAAGCAGAAACAGCCATGGAGAGTGGCTGTTCTGCATGCTGTGTGATTCCATGAGATTGGACTGTGTTCTATACACGGACCGCTACCAGGGGTCTGTGGCTAAGCAGGAGCTTGGTCCCCAAACACAAAGGGGACCTAGGATCCTAGTCCACCTAGAGTCCACCAATAGCTCCATTGGCAGGAAATTCAAACCCTCCAATGGGGACAGAGGTGTGCCGGATGGAGTGTATATAGTTGGCCTTGCAGGGCCGTTTTTTCCTTGTCTTGTGAAGTACAATAAACACATCTGAATGTATGTCGTAGTCCGAGTTCTCCATGTGTTGAACCCAGTAATTTTCAGAGTAGCTTGGGCCACTCAGGTCAGGGCGGAAAACAAGTTAATGTATATAAATACACAAAACCTCATTCTTCTCATAGTGATAGTGTGGCTGAGGAGTGAGCCAGGTATATATCCCTCTATTTGTCACTTTGAAACAAGCTCAGATTATAACTAAGTGGGCTAAGTTTCCTCCAAGATTTCCCAACTCCATTGATCTCTCCCCTTATGCCATAGGAATCACAAAGGCCTAGCATTTATGTGGACAACATGATTTGTTGAATTTATATGCCACTCCCTCTCCCCTGAATGGGACTTGGGGCAGTTAACAACATATGAAATACACCCAATAAAAACAATACAAAGATCTTTAAAATATAAAATGATTAAAAATCCACCCCCATTAAAATCTATCCACTATCAAGCAGGGCAGGATGTGTGGATGGTGAAGACACAGCTGAAGCATATCAGCTGCCTGGTGGATCACAATCACCCAAAGGCCACCCCAAAAAAAAAGAGCAGCCTTGCATGTCCTGTGGAACGTAGGGAGGTTCTGCATGGCACACACTTCTTCAGGCAGCTAGTTCCACAGGACAGGACCCACTACTGAAAAGGCCCTCACCCTTGTTGACACAAGGTGGACAGTTTGTGGACCAGGGACCTTCAATAAATGCCAATATGAAGATTGGAAAAGATAGGGAGAATCATGCCAGGAGAGGCAGTTCTGAAGATGCGAGGGTTCCAGGCCATTGAGGGCTTTAAAGGTAAGTACCAATACTTTGAATTGGCACCAGGAACTAATTGGGAGCCAGTGCAGCTGCTGTAGCATAGGTGTTTTATGTGCTGACCAGGACACTCCTGTCAGCAATCTGGCAGCTGTGTTCTGGACCACTTGCAGTTTCCAAAGCATCTTCAAAGATAGCCCTGAATACAGTGTGTTATTAGTTGTCTGGTCTTGAGGTTGTTGAGTGAACTACCCTGGCAAGGTCCTCCCAAGACAGATAGGGAGTCAGTTGGCAGACTCACAGTAGAAAGTAAAATGCAGTCTTTTTCACTGAGGTTATGTTTGTCCAAGAAGAGCAAAGAATTGAGCATACTCCCAAATTCCTGACAGAATCAGCCGCAGAAAGACAGACCCCATCAAGGGTCGGTAGAAGTGGCCACCCCAGTGGTCTGGGCTTCCCTAGCCACATAATCTTTTTCTTAGACGGATTTAGCTTCAACCAACTCTTACCTAGCTGTTCGACCACTGCATCCAGGCAGGAGGCCACGATTGGGATTCCAGCTACTGGTTGTTCCTTAACCTGCATATTGATGGCACTCCACTCCAAACCTCCTGACAATCTCCACCAGAGGGTGCATATAGATATTAAATAACATTGGGAAGAGAATTGACCCCTGCGGAACTCCACAGGCTAGGGCCCGTGGTGATGACCTCTCTCCACCCACGGTTACCCTCTGGGACCGACCCTGGAGGAATGAGGAGAACCAGCTCAAGGCCATACCCCTCACACCCAGAGAGTTTAGGTGGTTGCCCAGGACCAGATGGTCAACTGTGTCAAAGGCAGCTGACAGATCCAACAGGATCAGTAGAACCATCCCAACTGCATCAAGGTGTAAGTGGAGATTGTCAGCTAGAGCAACCAGAGCTGTCTCAGTCCCAAACCCTGGCCAGAAGCCAGTTTGAAAGGAACCTATGGCAGATGTCTCATCCAGGAATTCCTGGAGTTTTTCAGCCACTGCTCACTCAATCAGCTTTCCCAGAAATGGAAGATTAGATACTGGGTGGTAATTGGCTAGGTCCCTCTCCCCTAACAATGACTTTTTCAGGAGGGGTGTCACCACTTCTCTTTTCTGGCTGTGGCTGCATCCATAATCAAAGCCTGTGTCCCTCTCCCCCCCCCTCAATCAACCCAAACCAGTGTAATAAATTCCTTCTTCCATTACCAATTCAGTCTCACCCAAGGAGAAATTTCTTCAGAAATAAAGAACATGGGATGTACTTAATCTCTCCTTGTTTTGAACAACATTAATTTTGGTTTGAGCAACATAGTCATCATTCCATTATGGAAGTGGCTTTGTAAAGAGTTCATATATATTTGGGATAGGCAAGTCCTGCCTGATAAATTGCTGGTTACACTTGGTTAGTTTGGTGTAGTGGTTAGGAGCATGGACTCTAATCTTGGAGAACCAGCTTTGATTCCCCAGTTCTCCACAGGCAGGTGCTGGTGTGACCTTGGGTCAGTTGCAAGTTCTTTCAGAGCTGTTCTCTCATGATCAGTTCTCAAAAGAGCTCTCTCAGCCCCACCTACCTCACAGGGTGTCTGTTGTGGGGAGGGGAAGGGAAAGGAGAGTGTAAGCAGCTCTGAGACTCCTTTGGGTAGTGAAGGGCAGGGTATAAATCCAATCTCTTATCTGCTCTGTATATTTACTCTGTTCTTCTTCGAAGTAATGCAGAACAGCTTACATATGGCTCCCAGGAACTTCAAATCCAGAATTGACAAAAAGCTTCATCGGATCTTCATTACCCTCACACTTCAGTAGATTATAAAAAGTACAATACTACCTAATGGAAGGATATAGGACAGAGAAAAGAAAAGTTCTAATTGTAATGGATCACCATCTAGGATGGTAATTTATAGAAACATTTTCCCTCCGTAACTGAGAACCAATTTCTACAATAAACATAATTGTGGCAAAACAATTAGAGTTTCTCCTTGCTGTTCTACCTGCCTATGCACAGTGAGCTGCAGGTAGGAGGAACGATGCAACACATTTCCCTGGCCTTTCTGTGTGCAAGAAGGAAGTTGTGATGTGTACAACACTGCCATCTTCTGCCTGAAGTAATGTAGCCCAGGAATAGTTTTGCCACTTCATCCCACTGATTGTTTAAATTGATATCTCATTGATATCCCTAGAACGTTCCTTAGGAAACAAAGAAAAAAAATATTTCACTTGATGTAAGCATGTAAACACAATAGGAATGGTTTTATTATTGTTATACACTAAGTGAGTTTCAGAATGACTTCTGCAGTGTCCTTACAAGAAATAGCATGCTTGGTACTGAATATGCTTCATACAGTCTAGAAGAGCCTTTCTATACATAGCTTTGCAAGACCAGTGTAAAAGAAGAACAGCATTACAGTGATTTTAGATCATTACAATGGTTCCTATCTTAGTCCTCACTGTTTGGTGGTTCAGTGGTTAGAATTGTTCATGATATCCTAGGTAGGCTGTCTCAAAAGATGAATGCCTTCAGTCAACCAAACCATCTTTAATATTTGATCTATTAGGTCTAGACAAGTCAAAGGTGGTTTGATAAATATTGCTACCATCACACAGTTTTATCATGTACCACAAACTCCCAAAACAGCTGCATCAAAAAAGTGTAACTTATCAATACCAGACTGGTTGATCTTTGTACGGCACCTTTAATATATACACTTGAAAATGTGGCAGACATTCGTGGTTCACTTCTGGAAGCACCAAATGACAATGTTGCTTAGTTGGGTTTCCAGTGCAGCCTAGACTTGAAGTCCTGCTGTGAATGATGGCTTCTAAACTTTGTTGATGACAATTCGATTGCAATGACTAGTTTATTATATTCCAGCACTGCTTCTTTGGCACATTTCCTATTGGTGTTATTTGCATGTCATGTTCTGAAAAGATTGGGGTATTTTCGCTGAAACTACCAACCACGCATCTGCAGAGCTTCTCTTGTATCTTTCGGCGAAATTCCTTGGAGCCAAAGTAATAAACCAGTGGGTCAAAACAGCAGTTGAAGCTGTTCATTACAAGTGAAAGTTTATATTCCACATAAATTGACTTGTTATGAAAACTATAGGCATAATGGACTGCTGATATGACAATATGGGGCAGGTAACAAATGGAGAGCACAACCAACAACACAATTATCAAATGGACAGTATGCCTCTTGCTTTCTCTGAGTTGTGTAGAAGAGGAATGAAGAAGAGTTCGGATGATTGAGATGTAGCAGAATCCCATGACAATTAAAGGGAGGAAAAAGAAGAAAAACGTCTTGGAGCCAAAGTAAGCAATGAAATGCTTCTTCCCTGAAAACATGTTTTGAGGCAAAACATCAAAGCAAGTGATTATTGACAACTGTTGAACATGAATGGTCAGGTTATGCTTCATGAGAGGGATGAGTGGCAATAAAACGAGTGCCCAGATGACAATGCAGGTCAAGATAGAAGTTCTGATTGGCCTCATGGCTTTGTAATGCAGAGGATGGACGATCCCCAGATAGCGTTCAATGCTGATACTCATCATGGTTAACATGGAACAGTGCATGTTTCCATAGAACAGAACAGTGATAACACGGCACAGGGCATCCCCAAAGAGCCAATTGTTTTTCTTCAGGTGGTAGATTATTTGAAAGGGGAGGAGCATGCTGTAAAGTAAGTCTGCGATGGTCAGGTTAATGGAGAACATGATGATGGGAGTCCAAGGCCTTGAATACCACCAAAGGAACCATAAGGAAACACAGTTGAGAGGGACACTGATGCTGAAAATAATGGAGAAGAGAATGGGCAAAGTGATTTGAAGCATACTGCTCTGAAGCATCTCAATTGTGGTGTTGGTCACATTTCCTTTAGGAGTTATGGCAGACAGCTCTGCATATCTTCTTGAGGACCAGGAAAGTGTGAGGTCTTGAGAGTGAGACATCATTCTTCAGAAAAGAAGCTTGAAACTGGTGGCACTTTAGTTCTAGATACAAGAATGAGACATAATGGTGAAATCCTGGTAAACTGTACAATGATCACACTTGTTCTATTACTGTTACATACATAACTACATAAAAGTTCATAAACTTTCATAACAGTTTCTTAGCACTGATGGACCATATTGTTAGTAGAAGGGGCACTTTGATGCCATGAAATTGTTTTGGGGTTGTCCTAACATGGAGGCTTTTGAATGCTGTTTTTATGACATGCAAGTTGAGTAAACATAGGAGGAAAGTGATTCTAGGTTGACTGACAAGTAACTCATTTATTCCAAAGGGGTTTTTAGAGTCAGCATAGCCAATGTTTTATGCCACATTGAGGATGTATTCATCTATTTCTTGTGCTATCTAATGAATTCGCTTGCAATTAGAGAAGATGAACATGAAGTGGCACAAGAATATATTTTATTTATTTATTATTTATGTTATAGTCAACCTTTCTCACTTGGACTCAAGGTGGATTACACAGAGTGAACAGATACAGTCAACAAGATGGGACATTCAGTAAACAATGAAATAAGATTTACGTAGGTTGTAGAACCAACCAGAATTCTAAAATAGGTTGTAGAAACAACCAGAAATCTAAAAACAGAATTGAAGCAAGGTATAAGTGTTAATATGGCACAGTAAATGATGCAAAATTACACAATAGGATCCAACTCACAGCAAACAAAAACACAGTAGTACTGACCACAGTCCCCAATAATTTGTCCAAGTAACTTCATGACACCTTTTGTGCCGTGCTTCCCTATTGCCTATGTAGAAAAACCCTCTTGAATAATTCAGTCTTGCATAGTTTGCAGAAAGTCAGGAGAGTGGGAGCCTTCCTGACCTCCTCAGGCTAGGCCATTCCACAAGGTAGGGGCCACAACAGAGAAAGCACATGTAGGGGCTATTGCTGATTTTGCCCATTTGCAATCTGGCACCTGCAGAAAGCCCAGCTCAGATGAGCAAAGCTGTCATGGTGGAGCATGGGGGAAAGATGGTCCTGCAGATATGAGGGTCCAAGGCCATAAAGGCATATGTGATAGTCAATACTTCAAATTCAGCCCAGTAATTGATGGGCATCCTGTGGAGTGGCTGTAGAATGGGAGTGATACGCATGCTCCACCTAGCTCCAGATAATACCCAAACTACAGCATTCTGCACCAACTGGAGTTTCCAAATTGATTTTGAGGGGAGACCAATGTACAGTGTGTTGCAGTAGTCTAGTCTCTATATGTGATCTATAATAGAAGAGAAATAGAAGAAAGACAGTAAATGCAGGAGGGATTTGACAAATTCAGGGGCAGGTACCTGAAATTAAATGGGTATAAGGGATTGCATCACAGCTGAGTTGGGAGGAAA